CGGGGGGTCCCGGGGCCGGATATTGCCGCCCCGTCCCCCGGTCTGGGCACAGCCGGACCATGCCGAGGGCGGGGGTCTGGGGATCACCGGCCACCCTGCCATGACGGTGACGGGGCTGAGCAGCCCAAGGACGGGGCCATCTGGGGATCAGTGACCTGCTACAGCCCTGTGTGCCCCCCGGGAGAAGGAGGAGGTGATGGTGGTGGCAGACGCCATCCTCCCCCCCCAGTCCCCGGGTCCCCTCAGCCCCTGCTCTTGTCTTCCAGGGCATGGTGACGTTTGAGGACGTGGCCATCTACTTCTCACCCCAGGAGTGGGTAGAACTGACGACATGGCAGCGGGAGCTCTACCAGGAGGGGATGATGGACAACTATGACCTGGTTGTCAGCCTAGGTAAGGACGAGTCCTTGTGGAGCCTGGAGTATGAAGCCAGCAGCGCTGCTGGGTTGGGAGCGCATCCAGAGGCGCAGCCGGGGGTCCAGAGCTCCCTCAGCTGGGGGTTGGCAGCCTGAACCCCTCGGGTCGGGCACGCGTGGGCAGAGCTCAACCTGCCATCTCTCCATGCAGAGCGGGGCTGCAGCGTGCCCGCTGCCCTCCCCGGGCCTGCCGAGTTCGTCCCTGGTGTGTGAGGAATAACGGCTCCAGGTACCCTGGCCCCACTGCTCCCCACCCCGCTGCACCCCGGTTCGCCGCCACAACCCGGGGCTGGCACCAGTAGCTCCCAAGGGCCCTGAATGCAGCAGCCCCCCTCCCTGGTCCTGCTGCTCCCACGGCCGGCATCCTCCCAGCATGGCCCCCAGTGATGGTGACTCCTCGGGTGGCTCGGGGGATGCTGAGGTTTCTCTCTCCTTCACAGGCCCCAAGTCCAAGCTCAGCCACAAAATGGAGCCTGGGGAGGAGTCACGTGGGGGGGTCCTCTGTGGTGGGAGGGACAGCAGAGCTCCCGATGCCTCCGGCACCTGTGAGTGACCGCGGGGACACCGGGCTGGGAAATTGGTGCTGATTTAGTGAGGTAGAAGCCCCTGGTGTGGCACAAGGCAGCTGACCTCAGCCAGACCCCCACTGAGGCGGGGTCCTGCCCCACATCCTCACTTGGGTGGGTTGGGGTGTCCCACTTCGGCCAGATGGTGCTGGGGGCATTGCAGGGGTGAGAGGAGGCTGTGGCAGGGTGGGGGGGGGGCAGTGGCACCAGGACCATGGGGGTCTGCACTGATGGTGCCCCCCACCATGTGCTGCAGCGCCCCTCGTCATGACTGCACCCCTGTTCCCAACAGCTGCCTGGGGTGGGATGGCCAGCGAGGATCCGTCTGAGGACAACGACCAGGGACGCTGGGTCCCGTACGCATCGCCAGCTGGGGCAGCCGAGGAGTTGGGGTACCCCACGCTCTGCTCCGGCTGGTGCCACGCGGAGCCGGGGACCTGGGATGCCCCCCAGGAGCTACCTGGGTGGGCCTCCGGGGGCGCCCATGGCAGGGGGTGAGGGGCTCCTCATTTGCGGCATCTGCGGGCTGACCTTCGAGGCCGAGGCCGGGCTGAGCGCGCACTGGGACGAGCACCATCGCCTGGCACCCTACTACCAGTGCGGTGCCTGCGGCAAGGCTTTCCGCCACCGCCGCAGCCTCCTGACGCACAAAAAGCACCGGGGCCGGCACCAGCATGCCTGCACTGAGTGCTGCAGGACCTTCTGCTTGAAAGGAGATCTGCTGCGGCACCGGGCGAGCCATGGCGGCGAGGGCGGCTACGTCTGCCCGCTCTGCGGGGACAGCTTCCGCCACAAGCGCGGCTTGCAGGCTCATGGCAAGGAACACGCTGACCAGCCATGCCACAAGTGCCCGCAGTGTGAGAAGTGCTTTGAGGATGAGGCCAGCCTGAACCGTCACCAGGCTGCCCACTGCGAGGAGCGACCCTTCCTCTGCGGGCGTTGCGGCCGCAGCTTCAGCTGGAAGGAAAGCCTGATCATCCACCAGCGCAGCCACGCACAGGAGCGCTCCCACAAATGCCCCGACTGCGGCCGCGGCTTCAGCCGCAGCGGGAACCTGCTGATGCACCAGCGCGTGCACACGGGTGAGCGGCCCTTCGCCTGCCCCCAGTGCGACAAGGCCTTCTGCAGCAAGGCCAACCTCATCACCCACAAAAAGCTCCACCGGCGTTACAAGATCTTCACCTGCTCCCACTGCCGGATGGGCTTCAGCTCCAAGAGCAAACTGCTGCTGCACCAGAGGGCTCACAGTGAGGGGGATGCGGGCACCTCTGTGGCGGGGAACAATGGCCAGCAGTAGCTGCAGCCACTCTGGAACGCAAGAGGGGGCTTGTCTCTATGCTGGGAGGGCCCGGAGGGGACCTCATCCTGCCTTCATGGGACATGACTTTGCCCACTGCCTCCTCCCCAGGGCACATCCAGGACGCGCCAGCCCTGCGCTCTGCACCCCTTTGGACCTCAATGCCCCCCCACCTTGGGCACTTTTCCCATTTTACCTTCAGACCACCGTCCTGACTCACTCCTCCAGGTGTACTGGACACTGCCGGGTGCTGGCCAGGTGAAGTTGGGGTGGGGGCGGCGGGGTGGCTGCCCCATCTCCACCCCCTCTGGCTGCACACTGGTAAAACCGAGCTGTGAGCCCAGCCTGGGGCCACGGTTTGCCTGGAGCTGTGGAAGAACAAAGCCGGGATGTGGAGTGTGGGACCCCCAGTCTGCCCAAATGTGTCCCCCACCCCACGGTGCCTGTGTGCTGCCCTGGCTCTGCTGAGGGCTGTGATCCCTCCCCGATGGGGCAGCTCCTGGGGGGTCTCTGCTTCAAGAGAGGGCAGGAGTGAGGGCTGCTGTCTGCACCCGCAGCCTGACTGCCCCACCAGTGCGAAGGGCAGAGCTGTCCGGGCACCCCAACCTGTCCCTGTGCCGCTTCACCAGGACCTGCCGCCTTCCTCTGAACTGCTTTGTACCTTTGTTTGAAGTGTGGGATGGGGGAACCGCTCTTCCCAGGTTTAGGGAGCGTGGCCACCCAGTTCAGTTTGCGGGCAGTGACTTTTTCCTCAAGCAACCCCCAGCACCATTCCCCTGTTTCTGGGTAAGTGTAGGAGCCTGTTGGCGCATTTTAAGTCACAGAGCACCGTGTTGTCCATGTTTTTTTCGTAGTTTAATAAATCCCGTTTGGTAGGAATGTGGCTGTCGGTTTGGATGAGCGGTTGCCTGTGCTGTGGTGGCTGAGGGGAGTTGGGCAGGGCTGGGAGGACTCATCTGGTGGGGACTGGCTGCTGAGCCCGGCCTGAGGTGGTCCTTGCGCTGGTGTTGCCCAGTGAACCCTGAATGTGTCTGTTCCTGAGGACCAGATGGATGAGCTGCAGGTGGACTAGATGGTTGTCCTGGGTCCCTTCCAGCTGAAATTTTACTTTTATTCCCCCTTCCCCCTTCCCTTCCCCTATTTCTGTTTTCTCTTCTGTTATTCTATTATGTTCTATGCTGTGCTACGCTATTCTGTTCTTTATTAATTACAGCCTCAAAGGTGAGCTGCATCGGAGAGGGGCTGCAACAATCAGCGCTCATACTGGGGTGACCCCTTGCTCAGGGGGGGCAAGTGCTGGCCCACTCCCCCCACTCTGGGACCTGTGTGGTGGCCACGCATGGTGCCTGGCATGATCCGGGGGCAATGGCAGAGGCTGGGCAGGCAGAGCCAGGGAAGGGGGAGGAAATACATGAGTCTGTGCTGCAATTTGCAGCCGCCTCCAATTTTGGCACTGGCTCTTTGCCCCCAGGTGTGGCTAACGGTGGCTCATGGTGCCTGAGGCCACCCTGCCCTTGCACAACCCTGTCACCATCCCCAGGGATGCTTCTGGGGCCTGCTGAGTCCCTCTTGCACCTGGGGGGTGGCACCTGCCACCTGCGGATGGCCCCTGCACCCAGCTCTCGCTGGAGGCTGCTCCTGGGATCGGGGGGGAGTTCAGGTGGGAGGGCAGGAGGGACCAGACGGAATGGTGGAGTAGGTCACACTGTGGTGACCCTGCTCGGGTGATGGCATGCTGTCACCGGGGTTAGCGGGGTTGAGGGACGGCTGGGGACAGACAGAGGGGCTGGAGAGGTGGGCCCATGTTGGTGTTCAACAAGGCCAAGTGCAAGGTCCTGCACATGGGTCAGGGCAACCCCAAGCACAAATAAAGGCTGGGCCATGAGTGGATTGAGAGCAGCCCTGCGGAGAGGGGCTTGGGGTATTGGGTGGAAAACTGACTGTGAGCCAGCAATGTGCGCTTGCAGCCCTGAAAGCCAACCGTGGCCTGGGCTGCATCCAGAGCAGTGTGGCCAGCAGGGCGAGGGAGGGGATTCTCACCCTCTGCTCTGCTCTCCTGAGACCCCCCCCTCCAGTGCTGTGTCCAGCTCTGGGGGCACCAACATCAGAAGGACACGGACCTGCTGGAGTGGGTCCTGCGGAGGCCACGAGGGTGATCGGGGAGCAGGAGCACCCCCTTGTGAGGACAGGCTGAGAGAGTTGGGGGTGTTCAGCCTGGAGAAGAGAAGGCTCTGGGGAGACCTTAGAGCAGCTTCCCAGTACTTAAAGGGGCTACAGGAAAGATGGGGAGAGACTCCTGATCAGGGGGTGTAGGGATAGGATGAGGGGTTGCAGTTTTAAACTGAAAGAGGGGAGATTTAGATTAGAGATGAGGAAACTCTTCCCTGTGAGGGTGTTGAGACACTGGCAGAGGTTTCCCAGAGCAGCTGTGGCTGCCCCCTCCCTGGGAGTGTTCAAGGCCAGGTTGGACGGGGCTTTGGGCAACCTGGGCTAGTGTAAGGTGTCCCTGCCCATGGCAGGAGGGTCGGACTAGATGGTCTTTAAGGTCCCTTCCAACTCAAACCTTCTCGTGATTCTGTGATTCCCCAGGAGTCAGGCTCCACTGTTCCTCGGGGCTGGGGTGGGGGGGGGTGTTGGTTCCTGACAAGAGCTGGGGCAGGGAGCAACCACCCATGGGACACCCAGGATCTGGGCAGTGGAGGCAGTTGAAGCCCCCCTGCCCCCATCCCCCCGCCAAGGCTGCCCTAGCCCCGCTGTCGGCTGGGTCGCAAGCAGGTGGCACATCCCCCTTGTCCTGTCGTGTTGTGGGTCCCTCCCTCTGCCCTCGCTGGCACCCAGACCCAGCACCCTACACCCTGCACCCCTTTCCTCCAGCTCCCCCACCGAGCAGCACGGCCTCACCACTGGCCTCCTCGGGCTACCCCATCACACCCACGTCCCCTCATCCCCACACCCTGCCGCAATCCATCACACGCTGGCTCCTCCACTCGCGGGCCCGCCTTATTGTTACCGACTGTTTATTGCCCACGGCCGTGCCATGGTCCTGGTAACATACCCGGCTCTCGGTGGGACTGGCCGCTCCGGGCTGGACCAGGATGAAGCCCCTCGCCTGATGTCCCCTCCCTGCCCCTCGCCGGCCCGGGGAGCACTGGAGCATCCCGGGGAGCACTGGAGCATCCTGGGGGACACTGAAGCATCCTGGGGGACACGGAGCATCCCGGGGGAGACTGGACCATCTCGGGGAGCACTGGAGCATGCCGGGGGACACCGGAATATCCTGGGGGACACCGGAGCGTCCCGGCCAGTGGAGATCAGAACATCCCAGGGGGTCC